CCCCCGGATGGCGCAGCGCTGTACCCGCTTTTACTATCTATAACAATTAAGAATTAAGTTAAATCAAACTAAGAATTAAGGTTTAACAACAAAAGTTTAGTTTTGATGGCATGAGATACAACAGTTATTTTCCCCCACCTTTGTAATTATATTCATTATATTTTAAGCAACTAGCCTAGATGCCCAGAAATGCTACTTCCTGACAATCAGCATGTTAAATTCTCTTTCAGACTTATTAGCAGCGAGTAGCTGAGACATCAAAACTTTTAAGAGACTGTAGAAAAATTACTTGTAGCAGCTTTATTCTTAAAAAAAACCTATCATTAACCGAAGAATTGGAAAAATAGTTGGAATAACTACATATTAATAAAGATACTGCAGAGATAGAAATCACTTCCACAAGTTTATTAAGCAGCGAATCCTGAAATGTATGTGGAAGAACGCTGAAATATCAAATTAGCACTCAAAAGGAATTATACTAAAATAAAATCAGAGAACACATCAATTTTAAGAAATAATAAGACAAAAATTATCAATTAAGTTTCTATGTTCATAAAATTCCTTTGTGGTAGAAGCCTGGAAAATAGTGCCAAAGTGGAAAGACATGTTGTGATCACAAAATATTGGTCTAATGAGTAATGACTCTAAATCAAACCTTTTTGTACAAAATATGATCAGATTTGAGAGGAAGATATTTAGTTGTTGGAAGAATAACAGGGTGTCCATAAATATTCCAAAAGATCGTTCAAACCCAACTACTCACTTTGCATAGACAGACCCAATTAATCATATAATTCAGCGGTCCAATCAATAAGATCCTACACTTCATTTAAACTCATTCAACAACCTATGAATAGTAGGATGAAGAATGATAACGGAGATCACAGTACATAAATGTCTAAATGGGTTTAAGCCTCACAACAATACCTGATATTTTTCAAACAAGAAGGCAAGACATAATTGAAATTTAGTTAAGTAAAATCTTAGTACCAACTAGACAATTACAAAATTACTTGTGATAACTACTTCATAGTAAAGATGTTAATGAATTAACCTCAGAAGTATGCTGGAAACGCCAAAATTACATCAAATTTCACTAAAAGAATATTTAAATTATACTCATAAAGATTGCTCCTGTCCAATTACTTATTTTTTAACCAATTAATCATATGATTGACCAATCAGAACCATAAGATTAAACAATTAATTCAACTCAGCCAACTGTTTTAGACTCAAACCCGAAGCGCCAAGCTTTCCAAATGGTGAAAAATGACAATGTAGGCCACAGCACATTGCCTAGAGGCTACCGGATTGGGGGCAAACCGGTGTCTCTAAATGTTCCAAAACATTATCAAAACCCAACCGAAATGTAAGAAATCAAGATTTTGACACGGTACTGTTCTACTGAAATCAAGAAAACAGAACAACGAACCCAATTCAAAAAAATCAAGAAAACCAACCTGAGGATAGATTTGAATTGAGCAAGATCCTCTCCACGCTAGCCCTAGTCGCACCCTCAAATTCTCCGCGTTCGCCAATGCCAGCAAATCAGCAGCACTATGCCTCCTCCCGCTTGAATCGAAAGTACATTCGCCTTGATCAATCCATCCCTCACTGCGGACACCCAACTCTTCAGCTCCGGCCTAAACCCCACCGCCTTCTCCACCATCTCCGGGTCCCACTCGACACCGTAAGCGTTAAAGAACTCCCTGTGAGCCCGGCTGTAGAATCCGGCGTTGATCGCCGACGATCCGTCGAGGACTCTGCCGAGAGCCTTGGGGACGCCGTCGTCGGAGACGAAGGACTGGGCGGGGGAATCGAGGCTGTTGGCGGCAACCAGGGTTTGGAGGAATCCGTCCTGGGAGCTGAGGGAGGGGAACTCGTCGGGGGTCCCGCCGCGCTCGAGGAGGAGGACGTGGTGGCCGGCGGCGGAGAGGGTGGCAGCGAGAGGGCAGCCGATGGTCCCGATTATGATGTAGTCGTCGTCGTCCTCCGGCGGGTACAGGGTGGCGTCGAAGGTGAAGCGCGCGTAGCTGGGAGTAGTTCCCCCTGAAATCAAGAAATCAAGAAATCAAGAAATCAAGAACAAGAATCGATTCTTAGGGTCAGGGTTTGGGGACTGAGGGTTACCTCCTCCCGCGTTGATCGCCGACGATCCGCCGAGGACTCTACCGCGAGCCTTGGTGATGCCGTCGTCGGAGACGAAGGACTGGGCGGGGGAATCGAGGCTGTTGGCGGCAACCAGGGTTTGGAGGAATCCGTCCTGGGAGCTGAGGGAGGGGAACTCGTCGGGGGTCCCGCCGCGCTCGAGGAGGAGGACGTGGTGGCCGGCGGCGGAGAGGGTGGCAGCGAGAGGGCAGCCGATGGTCCCGATTATGATGTAGTCGTCGTCGTCCTCCGGCGGGTACAGGGTGGCGTCGAAGGTGAAGCGCGCGTAGCTGGGAGTAGTTCCCCCTGAAATCAAGAAATCAAGAA